CCTCTTGCGTTTACCCACATTTGACCAGCTGTCTGTCTCATCCCTGTGTGCGGCTTCGGTTCTACGGTTGCCTTTCCACCTGCACACGTCTGCGTAGCCCGTTAGATGTTCAACAGTGCCTGGCTGGGGGCCAGGCCGCATTAGATGGTGGGTACCTCTACTATCCTCAGAGTAACCACGCACAACATCCTCTTTATCTTCTCGAGTTTTTTATTTGGATACTCTTCTGCCCCGCCCCCCCATTCTCTCTTTTTCCTCCTCCTCATCTCCTCACAGGTTTGGTACTCACTGTGTAGCCCAGGCTGGGCTTGAATTGGCAGTAGTCCTCCTGCCTCAGCTTCTTCAGGCGCTAGGATTTGCAGGCATGAGCCACCAGTGGCTGTCACCTCTGAAGTTTCTTTTCTTTTTGTGCGCATACATGTGTACATGTGCATGCGGGTGTGTCTGTGTGTGCGTTTAGGGGCACGCACCCCTGTGTAAGCCAGAGGAGGTTGTGAGGTGCCCTGCCCTCTCACTCTCTGCTTTGCTCTGTGGCAGGGTCTCTCACTGACCTGGAGCCTGCTGTTTCTGCTGCTAGGCTGGCTAGGCAGCAGACCCCAGGCATCCTCCTGTCTCTGTTCCCCACGTTGTTGGGGGTCACAGCCATGCACAGCCATGCTCGGCTTTTATGTATATGCTGGGGAACCCAAGCTCAGTGAGCGCTCTAACCCATGAAGCCATCTCCCCAGCACCTCTTTTTATTTGTTTATTTATTTTTAATTTTAATTTTGCTTTTCAGTGCAGGGGATCAAACCCAGGGATCAAATACTAGGGATTAAGCACTCAACTCCAAAAAATGCTTCTTTCCAACGGCTCATTAAAAACGTGTGTGTGTGTGTGTGTGTGTGTGTGTGTGTGTGTGTGTGTGTGTCTAGAGGTGCCATAGAGCTGGTCACATAGCACCTTTAAAGACAGTCTAAGTCTTGTAGTGATGGATTAAACAGAAATTAAACCATTTGATATAAAATCTTATTGTGGCCTTTTAAAACAATTCTTTTTAGATATTAAAACTGTGCCTGCATTGTGTGTGTGTGCGTGTGTGTGTGTGTGTGTGTGTGTGTGTGTGTGTGTGTGTGTGTGTAGGGGGGCATCACACATGCTAGGATGTGTGTGCCGAGTCGGAGAACACTGTGGAGTTCTTCTCTCCATCCACCTTTCTGTGGGTTCTGGGGATTGAATTCCGGCTGTCGGGGTGTGAGCAGCAAACAGCTTTACCCACTGAACCCCCTCACCAGCCCCTATTGTGACTTTGGATTATTCAGAAGCATGTGACGAGAATACAAGCTCGGGCTTTTTAGCTAGAGTAGACTAAGGTGTCTTTATAACTGAGGTGGGCTTGGCTTGCTCTCACGTCAGTCGAGATTCCTGAGCGTGGCAGCTGGCGCCTGCCTGTGGCTTTTGAGCACACATCCAGGGACTGTAATCCACAAGACACATGCTTATTAAATACTTCTTAAGAGATACGGGGGGCACAAAACAGACAGGAACCCGGCCCTTCTTGTAGTCACAAATAGAAGTAGATAGGAGACCCCTGTCAAACAATTTAGTGAATTAGAAGTAATGGAGTCAGGAGTGGGTTTAGTCCACTGCCAATCCGTAGAATCTGTTTCAGAAGAGGGTCTGACTCCTGTGTTGTGCTGACTAAGCGCTCGCTGAATTTGCATGGTGGTAGGAGTCATTCAGAAGCCAGCAGCAGCCTCTGCCAGCAAAGTGTCCTTGCTGCTGGCAAGGAAGCCTGGGACTGCCTGTGGCCGCCATACGTGTCCCACCGCGGGGATGTGGAATACATATCTGCAAGTGGAAATCTGAGGAATGTTCCATTCCTCTGGTGGTGGCTGGAATGAGAACGGCCCCCATAGGCTCATACGTTTGAACGCTTGGTGCCCAGTGATGGAACTGTTTGGGAAGGATTGGGAGGCGTGGCCTTGTTGGAGGGGGTGTGTCACTGAGGGTGGCTTTGAGGTTTCAGAAGCCCACTCCTTTCCCTGTTAGCTTTTTCTGCCTCGTGGTTTTGTCTCCAGATGTGAACTGTTAACTGCTGCCCGAGGGTCAGGCCTTTGTGCCTCCTGTCACGCTCCCAGCCTTGACTGTTGTGGACTCTAGCCCTTTGAAATTTGTAAGCCCTAAGTAAATACTTTCTTCTGTGAGTTGCCTTGGTCCATAGTGTCTTATCATAGCAACAGAAGAGCAACAAAGACAGAAGTCTGTACCAGGAGTGGGGTTTGAACATGAAGAGACATGTCCGTTGGATACTGTAAGCCCAAATTAAGCATTTTCTTTTATAAGTTGCCTTGGTCATGGTGTTATCACAGCAATAGAAGAGTAAGACGTGTCTCAATTTACAAAAAAGATAGGATCATATGGTAACTTTACTGAAGGCTTTTGGAAACGTAGCTTATGATTCTGTCACAACAAAACAAACCGTCACTTCCTGGTTCCCTCAGTTCTTGCTCACATGGGAAGTTGCTTTATTATAGGAATCGTACCAGCTTCTCTATTTGACATAAAGATGTTTCCATTGTTATAATACTTTTATCATAATTTTATTTTGTTTTGTTTTTCGAGACAGTTTCTCTGTGTAGCCCTGGCTGTCCTGGTACTCGCTCTGTAGATCAGGCTGGCCTGGAACACAGAGATCCACCTGCCTCTGCCTCCTGAGTGTTGGGGTTAAAGGCGTGCGCCACCACTGCCCGGCTAACTTTTATGATCATTTTAATGGCTACTTTGTGACTCATTAGCACTTGCTTTCTATCTCAAGATTTTAACAGTATTTGCTGTACATCTTATCTGGTTCACATGAACATCCACACATAATTATTTCAGCATTATGCAAGTATTAATATCATTAGTTTATACATGATTTTTGCTCTTCTGTAACCCTCCATGAATATATATATATATATATGCATATGTGCATGCATTACAGTTTTTAAAAGGTGATGACAATTTGTGCATAATTCAGAAGTAACAGTAGAGAGGCCCTGAATTATTGATTTTGTTCTATCTTGGATAACTTAATTCAGCCTTTAGGCTTGCTTTTTTCTGAGCGTGGCACATCATTTGTCTGACTTTTGACTGTGTTTTTTGAATTTGTGTGTGAAAACTGGAACAAATACTACATAGAAGAAGGGAACGGGGTGAATTGATATCCAGCAGCAGCAGTTTATAGTAAAAGCTACCTCCTCTTCAGCAATACATTGATTTGTACTGGAGGAGTGGTGTGGAGTCAAAGCGATTTTGACCCCCTATCTCAAGTGCGGCGTGTGTGTGTGTGTGTGTGTGTGTGTGTGTGTGTGTGTGTGTGTGTGTG